ATATCTTTTTTGGTTCTTTGTCAAGGAATGGATAGGTTTTTTTTCCAAATCATGTTCCACCATTTTCCTAAACGCATCAACACAACAATTATTCCCTATTTTAGGGTTAAATACAGATTTATTATTATCATCCCTCCCTGGGTTATTCTTTGTATTAACAACTTGAGCTTTTACTATCCAGAACTTTTTAAAATTAATTTCCTGATAAATTTATGTAAAGCAACATATACTTCCAATTTATTAAGCTTCTTATCTGGTGCAAATTTTAATCCTAAGGACAAAACCCTCAATTTCTTCCTCACTTAAAATACTATTACTCTAAGATTTAAAAATACCTTGATTTATGTTGACCTTTTCCTTTTTCCTTTTGCCTCCTCTACCATCCCCTTCTTTTTCTATATCCCGCTAATAGGGGTCTGGATGCATCATAGGTGGTCCTGGTCTCCACCCACCTCTTCCTCTCTGGGGGGATAATATGGCTCCCCTCTCCGCCGAAAACTGATGACCTCCCTCCCTCCACCCCCCTCTCCAAGGAGGACCTCCCATACCCTCCTTTCTGAAAATCCCCTCCTTGTTGTTACCTTATAAAAGGATGTATTCTTATTAATATTTTTCCCCCTTTAGGTATTAATAGAGAAGAAATTCCTAGTTTTTAAATTGGGTTATATTGTTTTTTTGGGGGTGAGAATCTGCGTATAAGAACATAATTAATTTCTCTTTCTTCTGAGGGATTCCTAGATTCACTAGTCCCTCTATGATCATCATCCTGCCATTTATATACTGTATTTGATTTGTAATACTGAATATCCCTACAATATTTCTTAATTTTGTTTTTCTGAGTGTCATCATCCAATTTTTAAATATAATCCTGTACACTTTTAGCTCTTTCCTTAAAATCATTAAATTTACTGAAAGGTGCCATTTTTTTCCTTCAGTGTATGTATTTTATCTTCCAAGTTTCTGTTTCCTTCTTTGCACAATCAACTCCAATAATTTTTTTTCCACATGATTAAAAATAGAAAACCATTCCTCATCCAACTCTTTTCCCACAAGCCCATTACTAGGGGCACTACATCCCATCGCAACCTTCTGAGTGTGATCCCTTCCTTAATATACTTTTCCAAATGTTAAAACATCCCCACCATGCTCTAATTTGCTTATCTAGTGAATTTTTAAGATGTTTAAAAAGTTCTTTACTAAGATCTGTGTGCTCAAAAAAGACTGTGAAAAATATGTCCTCCACATTAACCATGTGTGCCATCTTGTGTATGGGAGATTCTCTGTGCTCTTCCGTCAAAATCTGTTGCCTGACCGTGGGATCTCAGAAAATGACCCCTGATGATGTTGGCATTTTGGATTTCATTTAAATGCAATAAAAATGTGATTTTGATCATTAAGAATGTGAGTGGCGTGGTACTTGTATTATTGAGGGTATAACCCACGTGTTGCCAAATTTTACGCTGTATATTGTTTTTTTCCCTACCAATTGCTGCTTGAGTGTCTTGAGAGTGGAGTCTGCGCAATCCTGGAGGTAGGAGGATGGCTCTACTCATTTTGGAGTGGAGGATCTGGAGGGCTTTCTGACTGGGTCTAGGACTCAAAAAACTAATGGCTTTTTTTCACCATATCTGGTGTGGCGATATATTTTTTGAGCAACTATTTTGTGGAAGCTATGGTTATTTCTTTAGAAAGAGGACTTTCAATCAATTTTTTGTGTTTTTTATAATATCTTTATATAATAATTTTTTCACTTACTTGGAGTTGGGACTTATAATTTCATATATTATATTGTTATATATTTTTTGGATGGTATATTTAATAAAATTATCTATTTATTTTTTTTGTGCATGTTTTAACGTTTTGTATATTTTTTGGTGTGAGTGTGCCCTGATGAGCAGCCAGCATTTATTTGTATATTCAATTTGTCTAAGTTTGGCGCTGGTGATTTATGTTTGAATTGTTTTCCACTTATCACCCTCACAGATCCCAACCAGACTGTATGCTCCACGGAGGTCTAGCTTTGTGGAAATTAAAACATCCCGGAGTCTGTCAAAAGAGTTCGGAAATCAAAGTTAAAGGGGGACCAATTCTTAATAGTGATAGCACTGAGACCTCTATAATCAATGCAGCGCCGGAGTGTACATCTTATTCCCCCACAAGAAAAAGCCAGCCCGAGGAGAATTTGGGAAATTATGGTAAATATTTTGCAGACTTCCTGGAGTATCAGACATGGTTTTGAGTCTCAGGAAGGGGAGGGGTTGATTTTACTCGAGGTGGAGAAGCCCCAGGTTGGAGGTAAATAGAAAATCTAGGGAGGTAAAGAGGCAAACGTCAGCAGCTTTCTTAAAAAAGACATCTTAAAAGGCTGATAATGGGAGGGAACTTTGGGAGAGGCGGGCCTCAGCTAGGGTCCAGAGGGGGGAAGCATTTTAGGGATACAAAAAAATGGCTTTGGGGCCCCCCATGACAATACTTTGGCAGTGTCCCTGTTCAAGATGGGTGAGAGTTTACGGGAATCAGGAAGTCCAAGAATGATGGAACTTTGCAGGGACAATAGGGAAGAATCAGGAAGGAGATTTCCTCAACATGAAAGAACACCACATGCATAGTTATGGTGTTACGTTCAGAAGCGCAGGGGTTCAAGGCCAAGGTAGAGCATCAAATGCAGATACTTGATGGGGCTTCATCAAGGGGGAACAAGAGGAATGCCCAATTCAGCAGCCAATGGATTGCTTGATGAAATTTCCGGCTGCCCCAGAATCCTCATAAAGAGAAACTGATACGAGTTCAGGGCCAATGATGGAGACAGGTATGATAAATCCAGGGAAGGTGTGGAATTTAGGTTCTGCTCTATATCATTTCCATCAGAGGTGATCTTGACCAAGAGTTTCCCGGATCAGTTCCGTAGACAAGACTTAATGAAATATATGACCCTCAGCCCTGCAGTAAAGGCAAGACCAAGTCTTAGGCGACGCACTCGCTCTTAGTGGAGTGAGGAACATTTTTCAGGCTTAACGTGCATTAGCTTTCGGATGCAGGTACAGTTGCGGAGGTAGATTGATCAGGGGATTTCTGGAAAATCAGGAGGGGCTAAGAACGAACTCCACGGGGGGGAATGGGAGGCAAGCAGCGACCAGCTCTTTCAGATCTCTTTCCTGGAAACGGACATTGATTTGGCTGCTACGAGCAATCAAGAGTATATAATGCGGTCGCTAGACCCTGACAAAAGGTTGCAGAAAGGGCCTCATTTATTCATTGCCAGTTCCAAAGCTAAGGTGTGAAAACTGAACTGTCATATTGAGCAACAGTCATGCTACTTGACGAAGTAAAGAAGAGCTCCTGCAGTCAGATGAAGTCTGCTGGGCACATCAAAGGATTTTGCAGAATGCTGCTGGAAGGCAAGGGAGACTGAATATAATAGAATTGTGATGCTCCCACAGTGGTGAGGCCCAAGGCAGTGCTTCACCAGAAATTCATTAGGTGAAAATGGTTTTTTGCTGTAGTTCAAAGTGAATTGAGCACTGTTTGATGAAGCCCGACAAGCTTTGTGATCACAGAGAAGTGAGGCAGTGGAGGCAGCTGGGAGTTTCGATGGACTGTGTTCCATTGGAGGGAACAGCGTGGCTTGGAGCAGCAGAAACCGGAACAGGCGCCGAAAGTACAGAGGGTGAGGAAGTGGAAAAACCTGCAGATGATCCACTGGGAGGAGAGTTCCTGCCAGACAGTGAATAATTTTGCTCATTGTTAGGCTGTGGACATTTCGACTCTCTGCACCAAAACTAAAGTTGTTCCAGGGGAGGCTGTGGTGTCTCCGAGGAGCTCATGGCTGAGCAAACTTGTTAATGCACCCGTGGTAGTGAGCCCTTGTAGATTGCCAACTTGGAGTTCCCCAGGCGGCGGAGTCTGAGGACTCTGCTCTCCTAGCTTCATTTTGATGCACAGGCACATCTGGACTCTAACTTCCTGATTTATAGACAGAGTTTGTGCTGGACAGCATGGATGTTCCACCTGGATCTAATTACCACACGATGGAGTCTTTTTAACTATTTTATCTTTGTAAGTGCAATTTATCCAATTGTTTACATATATTGTCAATACTGCACTTAGAGGCGGCTTTCTCTTTTTTCTTGTTACTGCTATTAGGAGCCTTGGCTTCCCACTCTAAACAATAGCTGCTCCTCTGTGTTACTGGTCCCATCATAATATCACCTGATATACCATTGGCACCACTTTATCATACAGGCTAAGAGGTTGGGCTCCAACAAGCGCGCCCTATATTAATATACATTTTCTAAGCCTTAGTCTGCTACTTCACGACAGAGTCCCTTAATGGTGGGGTTGGACTTGCAGCAAGTAAAACCAGGTCGTGGCCCAGGTACACCCAGCTGAGGAGTCACTAACAGAGTGTACAATGGCAGGAGGCAATAGGGAATCTGATAGACAAGGTCGATGGTCGAGGGACGGCGCGGAAAAACAAGCACAGTCAGTGAACGAAGCTTGGGGTCAGTAGATTGTGTAGGCAGATTACAGGATACAGGGAGTTGCAAACAAACAGGAGCTCAAGAAACTAAGAAGTTTTCAGGCAAAGTGGGGCTAGACAAGAAAATAAGAGGCGGGCAGGAAGTTGGATGGGGAAGAGAAGGAAAGATAAAACAGGAATAGGCAGGTGACGCCCATAAGTGAGCCTCAGACTAAACCACACATTTGAAGGGAATTCAGGAAAAGACTGCAGCAAGGAGGTAAATATGCACAATCGAGGCTAACAAGAACCCAAGATGGCAAAGTGCAGGCTAACCTGTGACATTTTACATATTGCTATTGCATTAGGATGTTGGCGAATTATTCAAAAAAATTCGTGTTACCCATACGGCTGATTCGCCGACGATTCGCGAATATATTCGCTTCGAGATCTCGAATTCGCGAATAAAATTCGCTTCGAGCGAATTTATCTCGCGCGGAATTCTTATAAAAAGGGGTGATTTCTAGGCTTCAGAGAGCGTTTATATTAGTGCAGACACACGGTACCTTTACTTTAAATGCCCTTGGAGTTGCTGGGGAAGAGAAATAATATGTCAGTTCAGTATGACATGCAGGTGAGTGCAGTCGATCCTTAGAAATCACCGCAAACTTTCACTCATTTTGGGCAGTCACGGGGCCAAAACTCCAGAGTGTGAAGCCACATTGGTTGTGGCGTGGTGGATGGCTTAAGCAGCAATGGGAGGCCTATACAGCATCTATGACAAAAATGGAACACCAGCAGTGTGAGGAGACTGATGAAGTGGCACATGGTCAGAGTGTGGTGATGGAGGAGTCAGCAGCAATGGGAGGCGTTTACAGGGAGACCATGACACACTCTGGACCTGGCTAGCAGATGAGGAGGCGGTACAGGGTCCATGACAGATTACGGGCCTAGGCAGCAGCGATGAGGAGTTCGGTACGGGGGCCCATGGCAGATTACGGGCCTGGCTCAGCAGCTATGAGGTGAGGCGGGGTACAGGTATACAGGGGCCCCCCATGGGCAGAGTGGCGGAGCGTAGTAGCAGCTAAAATTGAAGGCATACAGAGGCCTATGTTAAAAAGTTCCCCAGCACGCAGCGTGGGGAGACGACTATCAAGAGTCCTATGGCAGGTGGCGGAGCTGAAGCAGCTTTTGCAATTGAAGGCCATACACAGGCCTAGGTTTAAAAGTCCTCTACAGTTAATTCACAATAACGAACTCTATACTCTCGCGTGCAATCTACTTACGAGACCCTGGGCAGGTCTGGGTCTCAATTTGTGGTATAGAGAATGGTTTTGTTCAGCCATGCTTGTGAGCGTAGTAATAACAGGTCTGTGCTGCCTTTGGTGTCTCGGCTCTTATGCGCAACATCTGAAACGTCCCAGCGTTTGTCAAACGATTTTGCTGGTTAAGTGATGCAAACCCGCTCGAACACGTTCATGAGGAGCCGGTACAGGGGGCCATGAGATCAGTATGGACCTGGCAGCAGCGTGTGAGCAGACGACAGAGGGCACATGGCGCAGGGTGGCGGTGTATTTGTGTAGCATCAGCTTATTCTGAAGCCACTACAAGGCCTAGGTTAAAAAGCGGAAGCCTGTCAGCAGCGTGAGCAAGACGACAGAGACACATGGCGGAGGGTGGCGGTGGATTGCAGCAGTATTCGGAAGCGCAAACACAGGCCTCGGTTATAAAAAGCGGAAGCGGGTCAGCAGCGGTGAGCAGACGACAGAGGAAACATGGCGCAGGGTGGCGGTGGAGGCTAGCAGCAATGGAAGGCCTATACAGCACACCTATCACATAATGGAACCTCACACCAACTGTTGTAAGGAGACTGACAGTGGCACATGGCATGAGTCTGGCGATGAAGAGGTCAGCAGCAATGGGAGGCAGTACGGGACCATGAAACACACTTGAATGGCAGCAGCAAGATGGAAGGCCAGGTAATGGGGCCAATGGCAAGTGGACGAAGCGTAAGCAGCTTAAATTGAAGGCTTACAGAGAGGCTATGTTAAAAAGTCCCCCAGCAGCAGTTTGGGCGGAGACGACTATCAAAGTCAATGGGGCAGAGAGTGGCGGAGCAGAAGCAGCTTTCAAAATTGAAGGCCATACTAGGCCTAGGTTATTAAAAAGTCCCCTGCGGCAGCGAGTGGGCGAGACGACTATCAAGCAGTCAATGGCAGAGTGGCGGAGCAGAAGCAGCTTATCTAATTGAAGGCCATACACAGGTTAGGTTAAAAAGTCCCCCCGCAGCAGCGTGGGGAGAGACTATCAAGAGTCCAATGGCAGTAGTGGCGGAGCGGAAGCAGCTTCAATTGAAGGCATACACAGGCTAGGTTAAAATGTCCCCCAGCAGCAGTGTGGGGAGACGACTATCAAGAGTCAAATGGGCTGAGTGGCGAATCAGGAAAGTCTCAGCGTTGTGATTGCAGATGCAATGCAGAGATATCTATGAGGTGATGCCGTGGGTGCGAAGAAGTCACATACTTACGTCGTACTTCCATCCATAAGACGGAATCACATGCGGGAACGGGAGCTTTATTGGCCTGACCGTCTGAGCAGCTTCTGGGATACCCAAGAGGCCCATGGCAGAGTGGCGGAGCGTAAAGCAGCTTCAATTTAAAGGCCATACAGAGGGCTATGTTAAAAAGTCCCCCCAGCAGCAGCGTAGGGAGGACGACTATCAAGAGTCCAATGGCAGAGTGGCGGAGCGGAAGCAGCTTCAAATGAAGGCCATACACAGGCCTAGGTTAAAAAAGTCCCCCCAGCAGCAGTGTGGGGGAGACGAAACCCCTATCAACGAGTCCAATGGCTGAGTGGCGATCCGGGAAGGTCAGCGTTGTGATTGCAGGATGCAATGCAGAAATTTTATGGAGGTAATGCCGTGGGTGCGAAGAAGATCATATACCGTCGTCGTACTTCATCCATAAGACGGAACAACTGCGAACCGGGAGCTTTAATTGCCCTGACCCGGTCTGAGCAGCTTCTGGGATACCCAAGAGTTTGGCTTCTGTGGGGGAATATGGTTGAAAACTGAAACTTAAACGCATGTTGACGGAAGGGCACTAGTGTCAGTGCTCTGGAGGGAAGGAATATAGCTTCAAGCTGACACTTAAAGGTATATCGACGGTCAAGAGACACAGGAAGTGGAGCTTGCGTCTTAAAATCGACTGAATGTGGCAGACGTGAAACGTCCTACGGGCCGTATATGAAACGGGTTGTTCCTCTTTCTGGAATAAGTGTTGGAAATGGCCACTCTTTTTGGTGTGGCGTTTTGTCTATTTAATTCCGATAACGGACTCTACTCCTCCGTGCAATCTAGTTACGAGACCCTGGGCAGGGTCTGGGTCCAATTTGTGGTTAGAGACTGGTTTTGTTCAGCCATGCTTGAGCGAGTAATAACACAGGTCTGTGCTGCCCTTTGGTGTCTGGGCTTAATGCGCACAACACTGAAAACGTCCCCAGCATTTGTCAACGATTTGCCGTTAAGTGATGCAAACCCGCTGAACCTCTAGTTTCATGAGGAGCCTGGTACAGGGGGCCATGAATCAGTATGGACCTGGCAGCAGTGTGAGGAGACCCGAAAGTGGCACATGGCGCAGGGTGGCGGTGGAGGCTCATGGCAGCAGTATTCAGAAGACATACACAGGACTAGTTTAAAAAGCGGAAGCCGTCAGCAGCGTGAGCAGACGACAGAGGCCACATGGCGCAGGGGTGGCGGTGGAGGCAGCAGTATTCAGAAGCCATTTACACAGGCCTAGGTTAAAAAAGCGGAAGCCGTCAGCAGCGTGAGCAGACGACAGAGGCACATGGCGCAGGGTGGCGGTTGGAGGCAGCAGTATTCGGATAGCCATACACAGGCCTAGGTTTAAAACTGGAAACCTAAAAAAAGCAGCGTGAGCAGACGACAAAGACGCACAAATGGCAGAGGATGGATCTGGCAGCAGTATGAGAAGGCGGTACAGGGGCCCGTGGCACAGTGTGGTGATGGGGGCTACAGCAACTGGATGCCAGAAAGTGGCCGATAGGGCTATATACTGCATGGAATTATAAAGTTGTAAAGACAGCGGCTATAAGGCTATACACACTATAACAATCATGACTTGATTGACCATTGGCCTATAAGGCTATACACAGCATGAATATCATGACTTATTCTGAGAGTGGTTTGGAGGCTATATACAAAAAGTAATTCATGAGCTGTCCGGACAGCGGACAATATTAGTACATATATACAAATCAATTCATCAGCTGTCCAGCCAGCGGCCTCAATAGGCGACACACATATAGAAAGCAATTCATGAGCTGTTCAGACAGCGGCCTCTAAGGCGACAGATATACAAAGCAATTCCCGAGGTGTTCAGGGAGCGGCCTGAACGGCTAGGTTTATTAACTAAATCAATTTTTGTGGTCAAACATCGGCCTATAAATAGATGTCTACACAGTGACAAAAAATTATGTCGCCAGACAGCGGGCCCCTAAGGCGACAGATATACAAAGCAATTCCCGAGGTGTTCAGTGAGTGGCTTGAATGCGATCACATGTCATGAATGCATTATGGGTCAGCGCGCCTTGTCTGCGCGCCTTCCCAGAGATCCTCGCCCCATCTTCTCTGTCCATTTTCTCCATCGCCACACATGTCGCCGCCATTTTTGGGAAAATTCGATTCGTGCATCCGAAGTTTGCTAATCTTCGGATTCGTCGCGAATAGAATTTTTCCAAATCTTCGGGAATGACGAATTCCACTTCGTCATGTTCGATTCGCTCATCTCTAATGCCTATCACTCAGCCCTGATTCAAAAGCTGCTTACGTGGGGTAGGACAGAAAGGAGAACACATGAAAATGGAATGGTGACTGCAACAATAGGAGGCATTTTGTACACCAATATGTGTGTTAAAAAAACCTGTGCCAAAATGTGTGATAAAGCACCAAAATGTGTGTGTTGAGAAAAGCACCAAAATGCACATTAAAAAATCCACGCCAAAAAGTGCGTTAAAAAAATGCCAAAATGAGCAATAAAAAAGAGCCAAAATACACATTTAGTGAATGTGCCAAAATGTGAGTTAAGAAAAAACGGTGCGTTAAAAAAAAAGCACCAGGGGTCAGTGCTTATTATTTTAATTATAATTATGTTTTTTTAAGTTTGGTTTCACTTTTTAAACCTGGCTGCTCTGTAATCTCACAATATCTCATGACATTACAGGCAGCCTTCCCCTTCTACAGAGAGCTCACTTGTTTTCAGATTGAAAAACTTTTCTTTGTTATTCTGAGAACAGATGTTCTCAGCTTCATAAACAAGGGCTCAGAGGAGATGTTCTTTCTCTGAGAACTGCTAAAAAACTATAATGAGATAAATTCTCTCTGTTTAATAAACCATACACCTATGTTGCTACTTTGTGCTGAACTGCAATGAATACAGGAATCTCTGTACTGAGTTTTTTCTTTCCATTTAAAGGGAAAAAAAAGGCAAAAGATTTTTTTTTTTTTTTTTTACTTATTTGTTTTTTTTTTTTTTCCAAAAAGAAAGCCTTTATTAATATAGAACATAATGGTACAAAAGACATGTACGGGGTTGCCTAAGCGAAACAGCAGGCACAACCTACAGCGACACAGCAATAACTCAAGCAAGAAAACACAGACAATGCAATAATACAAAACACGACTACAATAAGGTTATGCTTGCAACAAATAGTATAGTGTGGGTTGTAATTGCATCATATCTCCTGCGCTCGTGCTTCGCCATGCAGGGCTGTAGCGATAGGAAGAATGGTCATGGCACCTGAACGTAGGATTCGGTCAAAAGCTTATGGCAATGGGAAGAATTACAAAAACCGGCTTACGTTGTGGTAGGAGCCGTTGATGGAAGGGGGGGAGAGTGAAAGAATGGCATGTCTAGTGTTCCAGGTAGTATATCAAAGCGAGAGGCGAGAAGAAAAGAGAAAGGAGAAAAGAGAGAAAGGGCGGGG